CCCCCGGGGTGCGTGGAGCGGCTCCGGGGCGGCGGGACACCCCCTCTCTCCCCTCCCCTCAATGCACGGAGCGGCCGTGGGGTGTACGGAGCCTCCCACGGACGGACTTGGGGTTGCACGGCCCCCCTCCCAGTGCTCCCAGCGCACGGAGCAGCCCTGAGATGCACGGACGGGTTTTGGGGGGCACGGACAACCCAGCCCCCCGGCTGCGGCACGGACAGTCGTGGGGTGCAAGGAGAGGGACCCTGGGGTGAACAGACGAGCCTCTTCCTCCTCCGCTTTTGGACCGCGCTCCTGTAGCCCGGAGAGAAGGGAGAAAACTACTTTTTCCCTTCCCGTCTCTGCGCTCGCCCAGCACGCACCTCCCAGGCAGCGGCTCCGTGCCTCGCACCTCCAAACTTTCGCCGTGCGCCCTCCCGTGAGCCTCAAGCCCCCGGTGGGGGTTCAGGCTAACGCCGCGTCCTGCTCTTTTCTCCGAGTCCGGGGTGCTCTGCTGCTGCACCCTATTTCTGAGCACCCCAGCGAGGAGCAACAGCCCCTAACCGGGGGGTCGTGTCCCGTCCTCTGCCCGGAGGGACATGCAGCAAGGGGCTTTAATCAACCCCTTGAAGGTCAAATGGGACTGGAGCTGCTTGAGGTTTGGCACAGCCCGAGCGCGAATGCGTGGAAGAGCAACGGTTAAAGTCGCGCGGTGGCTTATCGCAATGTTTGCTGTGCGGGCCCTTTTGCAACGGCAGTGGTGAAACGGGCGTAGAGTCGCTGCCAGGGAGGTAGATGTTGGCAGTCAAGGGGGAAAAAAATTCCTTTTACCTTCCCGCTCCCCTCCACTGGGTTGGCGTCTTGAGGTTCAGTTGCTGATGGCTTCCCTGATGTCCTGTAAATGTTTCGCTTGTTTTGCAGCCTCCCTTTCCTCTGAGCAGTCTGTACCTGCCTGCAGAGAGCACAGCCACGTGCTATTTGAGTCCTACCCCTCTGCCAGGCCAACGAGCAAAAAAGCGGTCTGTGGGGTGGGGAAGCCTGGGGGATGGAATGACGATTTGCGTAAAACCCCCCTTTCTTACCCAAAGCAAGCCCCATAGTTGCACATTGAGGGGTTGCAGGAGGAAGGACTTTGTGTCGCAAGGTGTAGAGCCGAGGCAAGGCTGCTGCAGCGGGTTGTCACGAGCTGGGTGCCTTTCATTTGGGCTAAAACGTGACGCTCAATTTTGGACTTTTCGTAGTGAAACAGCTGGCCTTTGTGCTGTTTTATGGTCAGGCAAACTTAGGATAATGTTTCTGGCCGTGTCCCAGCTGATTAAAGTTTTGGGCCTGGCTAGCGAGGCTGATTAAGTAAAATATCCAGCGGCTGGGGTAATATTGCAATGTTTGCCATGCAAGTTGGTTTGAAGTGATGGTGAAGCAGATTAGAGCCGCCGCCAAGGAGCTGGATGGTCTCAGCTGTCAGAGAAAACCCGTCTCCCCTTCAGTTTGCACTGGGAGGGCACAGCCGCTGTTTGTAACGGATAGTTTTGTGTTTGGCCGTTAATTGCTGTTAACGGAAGGAGCAACATAGTCTCCGAAAGCAAAGCTGCAGAATCCCTCCCTTGCGCGGTAGGGACATGTGGGAGACGCCACTGACTTCAGGGTTTGGTTATGCTGGGCAAATCTCTTCCGCTGAACTGTGCCGTAAATCGTGGCACCAGGGGCTTGGTACTGGATCAGGCTCCTCGCTCGGCATCCTCCTTCACACCCGTCCCTGTCGGTGCCCGCACAGCAGCTCCTCGTGCAGCCTGCGGCAGTTGTAAACCTGGGGGTGTGAGGGGGGATTAGGGTTTTTTTTCTCTTTATTTTTTTAAATTAAAGCCACACTGGTGTGTTTACCCACAGCACTTGTCCCTGGGCAGCTGTAGGAGCAGAGTTCCCCAGTACTGGAGCGGACACTGAGATGACCAACCTCAGAAACCACGGGCTGTGATGCTGTGACGGCTCGGAGGAGCGGGGCAGGCACGGGGCTTGGGGCTTTAGAGCCGTAAGCTGCTTGGGGAGAGCTGGCTTTGCGTTTATACAACACGTCCGAAGGCAGGCCCTGTTAGCGTCTCCGTTAGAAATGGAAAGATGGGTGAGAACCATAGGTCCTGCTGCCCCAGAGGGCTGAGGATTAATAAGAGGAAACTGGGCTTTACACAATGTTTATCTCCTGCTCTTTGCCCACGTAAATCCTAGTCTTGGAAACTTATGTTGGACCGGCCAGCCCCTGTGGTGCTGCTGACGGCCACTCGATGTGCGTTGCCTTGTTGGCATCTCCAATGTTGGGCAGTATCCCTCGGCCCCTGGGTTAGCAGGGACAACGCTCTGGTCGCTGCTGACTCCGCTCGTGGAGTCCATATGTGGGTCCTCAGCTGTGCTGTGGCTCGGTGCCTTGGTTCTGCTTGCTCGGGTTTTAGTAAACAAGCTGAAAAGTCTTTTTTTTTTTTTTTTTTTTTTTTTTTTTTGCATGGGGTGCTGCTCCTCAGTGCTATGACCTGGACCTGCCCCTTGCACACTGACCTTGTGCTCTGCTTCTCGCCAACGTTCGCCCTGTCCCTGTTTTTAAAAGTGGATGTTTTTTGGCTGGTTTTGCGTCTGGTCCGGCTGGCGTTGGAGCTGAGGAGGTGGGAGCCGCAGTAAGGCAGGGGTTGTGACAGCACCGGTTTAGACTGACTTAAACTGTTTTTCTGGGAAACCCAGTTAGCGCAAGGTCTTGCCACCGCCTAAGGGAGGGTGCTTAACCTGTCATCACTGATAAATGCCTTCAAAATTATTGCCAGAGATGGGCTGGGACCCTTGTGAGCTCTTCCCACTTCATTACAGTGGAGTGGCTGATGCTGAGGCTTTCCCCATCCCTTTAGGGCTGCTGCTCCAAGACGTTGTCCCACCCTCTAGAAATGAGGGCAAAGAGAAGAAACTGCCTCTTCCCAGGTCGAAACAAGTCTCTTGGGAACACCGGTACTGCCCGTGTCCTGCCAGCCTCTGCGCAGCTTTGCTTGCCCCTTCTTTCCTTCGCTGGCCGCGCTTGGCTCTGCCTGCCAGGCGGGCGACACCGAGAAACCTCGGGAGCTATTGGGTTTCTGCTGGCAACGGTGCAGGCGTGCAGCTGCGATCTGTTGCTTTCCCCATCTTTTGCAGAGTCACGGTGATTAGTGAGGGACGGGCTATAAGCTGAGTCTCTGGTTGTACGCTGGGTTTTGGACAGCTTTGGGGTGTTTTAACTTGTAACCTGCAGAAGCAAGGGAAATCATTAATCCTAGGGGAGCGTGACCTGCCTTGAGCTCCACCTTTCCAGGCAAGCTTGCATGCCGGTAGGATTTTAGCTGGTTGAAATGCTGTAGGTGTGGCTTTTTCCACAGCTGCTGAAATCTGGATTTGCTGCACATGGAGAAAGAGCTCCAGACATGTCTAGTGTCCAAGAGATAACGCACAACAGCTCTGTGCCTGCATCTCTGGCTGGCTTGAAGTCTCTCTCATCTGAAGTCTCTGTAGTTATAGTGGGCCTCCTTAAGTCAATTTAAGCTTTGGATCCCATCCAAAGAAGGGGAAGTACATTGAAAATTGGAAACGTGCAAGAGGCTGCAGGTAGCTCTCAGAGGATGGGAGACCGAGCTGATAATAAACAGTGATTTACATCGCAGAGCATCCTCTTGCGGAGGTAACACAGTGGCACCCATCCACCCTCAGCCTGCAGCACCTTTTAGAACCGTGTCTAACCATATTGAGAACTGTATTACTGATGAGGCAGTGGTGATCCTTCTTAAGCCAGACCATATGCAGAGAAAGGCTAGGGCTGAGCTGTGGTTAAAATATGATCCTCTTCAGCATAAGCTGCCAGGCTCACCCACCTTTCAGATGTGTTGCTGGACTCTCATATAGGCAGTTATATACCCTGTTTTGGAGAGCGGTTTTTATTGTGCTCCAGGAACGGCTGCTGTGCTCTTTGCTTTGGCCGCTGGTGCATCCGTACTGTTTACTAACAATACCGTTGGCAGCAAACCCATGCTTTTACTGTGCGGCTTCCTTGGGAGATGTTATCTTGAGGTTGTTTCAGCTTCTTCCTTTGTGGTATTGTCTGAAACTCCCAGCTTTCCGGCAGGAGAGGGTGCATGGAGTGCCAGCAAACAGCAGTGAGCGTGCATTGAACACCCTGGGAGTCAGACCGTGGTGGTGTTTAGCAAGCACGTGTCCTTTAAGGAGAGGGCAAGTTGCTTAAAATCCCTTAGCCTCAGACAGTGGTCGTGCCCTCGCTGGCACAGCGTGTTCCCTTCCTTGCCTGCAGCGTGCTACGACGTGTGTCAGCGTGCATCTCTCGGCAAGGTTCCTCTTGCATGTGTTTATAATGTCAAGTTTACTGGGAAAAGTGGACAGCCCTTGTGCCGAGCCCCCAGTAACAGCTCTCCTCTGTCTCTCTTTGATTTACAGAACAATCAAGTTCTTGGGATTGGAAGCGGTTCTACGATTGTCCATGCGGTGCATCGATTAGGTAGGATGCTCCCCTTCGTCTCCCTCCCACCGCAGAAAGTCCCCTTGTCCGGCTGCCCCAACTACTTGAAAAACATGCTAAATCGTCTGGATGCCGACTTATTGCTGATGTGTCGGGTCTGTTCACTGACTGCTGTGTCCTCCTTGAAGCTGAAGGTTAAAACTGGGTCTTGTGCTCCAAATTTTATGGCACAGAGAGCCCTGAGGAGGTAATGATTTGCCACCTGTTCTCCCCATACAGCCAGGCAAAGCGCTTTACTGGCACCCGCCACAAACTGGAGCTAAACCCCTCCGTTTGGTTCCAGCTCTGCCCAGTCCTGACTTGCTTTGTGGCTGTGGGCCATGCAGCTGCTCTGCTTCCGTTAACCCGTTTGTATGTGGCTGACGCTGCTTGCTCACATCCACCTTATTCACATTGAGGGTCCTGCTGAGATGTGATGAAAACGAGGAATGTGAAATCCTGCTGCTTTTTTTTTTTTTTTATATACCCTACAGCTAGGTTTATCTGCTTGCCCCAGGTGCAAGTTTGCTCAAGGTGTGATTCAGAAAATTTCAGCAAAAGACTCAAGTGAGGCAAATGCATTTTTGCAAAGTGAATGTGAGGGTAATTATCCTCACGCCTCATTACGGAGGGTGCAGAGGTTTAAAGTTGCCTTTGCAGGGCTCTCTCAGCCCTAGGGCAGATCTGCTTGTGGAGGTGCCGTACCTTGTCCTGCTTCGCTGTCCTGGGATGCAAAACAGAGCAGCCGCGTGTGACGGGTGAGAGGCGCAGCGTCAGCCCTGTTGTTCGTGGGGGTCTTGCTCGGACACGGAGCCGGGGCTCCTGCTCAGAAGCAGAGCTCGGTGTGTCCCACCTGGGTGGCTCTGCGTGGCTTGGAAGTCCCCGTGTCACCTCCAGCTCCCTGGGGCAGAGCCGTCCCCCAGCCCACCGCAGGCGAGCGGGGCTGAGGTCTTCGTAGGGAAACAGCAGAGATGGTGCTGTGCCTGCCCCGTGGCACCCACCTCACCCCACGCTCTGTGTGTGTGATACAATTATTTGTCTGGGAGCTGCGGTTCAGCTTTCTGGGTTTGGCTCAGTATTGCAGCCACTCCTGATTCTTAACAGAGAATTAGTCTCTAAATAAATGGGTATAGTATTTAAAGCGGAGTGCCTGTTCCAGGCTGCAAATTCTGACTTTTCATGTCTAATGAATGTGTTGGCGCTGGGATGTGGGTTGCAACAACATGCGGCCTTACGTGTTGCATCTTCAATCCTTCCAGCAGCAGCGTTACCTTGAAGCATGTAGCCCGTGTGCTTGCTCTGGCGCGAGAGCTGTTGCTGACTCTCGGGCTGTTGGCTTATGCCTAAGTATTGTAATTACTAAAATAACATTTTGTCCGTGATCATATCTTAGTAATAGATTTTAGTCATTTGAGGTTAACCTGGGGGAGGTAATATTTCCTTCCATTTAATGGAATACTGTATTTTATTAGTCCTTTCCCTGCCATATATTTAAATGTTCTATAATAAATGAATGTGATGTCCCCAAGGCAACAAGCCAGAAAACCTTTCAGACAGCTGCTGAAGCTGTCTGTTTACAAGGAGCGCAGCAAAACCTGTCTAATGGAGTGAGAGGGGAATGGGGCTAATTTCCCAGGTGACGATTTGCTGACAAGGCTCCTCTGCCGCTGGAGACACAAAGGTTAATGGCTCGTGGTATCTTGGGCTGAGCCAGGGTGGGTGTTTAAACATTCCTCACTGTAGAAACTGAGCCTTAGCCTATGCAGGGTGGCACCTGTTTGCATTTTGAGCATGACTGAGTTATTTGCAAGCCAAGCAAGTAATTGCAGTGATTCAAAGGGGCTGCTCTGAACTGAAATTTATTAAAGTGAAAGTTGATGGGTTTTTTCCTTCTGCAATGAACAAACGGAGGCTTCTGCTTTTTTTCCTACAGCCGAGCGGGTTAAAGAGGAGAACCTGACAATTGTCTGCATCCCTACGTCTTTTCAGGTAAGCACTTTCCTTTTTTGCTTTCCGCTAGTCCAAACACTCACACAGGGGATCTTCCCTTTGGCTGCGGGAGGCAACCACGCTGCTCTCTGGACTGGCTCGCTGCGGTGTGAGTTAACTGGTGGAAGCAGTCGTGATGCAGCCTGCAGATGGACCTCATGAAGCCAGTGCTGATGGTGCTGTGTTACCCTGACCTGAACTGCAGGGATGCTGTAGTGCTAGGAGGTGTGTTTTGAACCAGTGTGGTAACGCTGGTTATGTCGGTGTTGGTGCCTGGCTTGCTCATGGTCCTGCTTACAGAAAGATGCTCTTTAGTGGTGAACCAGACTCATAATGCAAAACTCATTGGAGACACTTAGTCTCCTTTGATTCTGTATCAAGCCCTGAAAGCTGTGAAAATCACGCTGCAAGCAATAATAGCAAGCTCATGTGTTTTCAGGAGGAACTTGAAATGCATCAGCTGTGTTTTATAAGGAATTGCAGAAGAGAAATCACCTTACTCTTTCTTTTCCTGTGCAGCTTTTGCAGGGATTGGTTCATACCAAACTGGCTGTTGAGAGGTTTGCAGGGAGAGGGAGAACTCGGCTTGGTGGTGAAAGGCAGAGCTGCTGGGAAGCTTCTGAGCTGCTTCCATGCCTTCAGGCAACTGGCATTGGTCTCTCTGCCTCTGTTCCCTGAGGTGGAACATGCTGCAGAGGAGCAGCTGTCACCCTGTCCCCTTTGGGCAGGGAGAGGTGACATGATGGGGACCACCCGTGGGGTTTTCAAGGCTGGGTGGCAATTTCCCGGTCTAGGAATTGGGCACGTGTCCTTCTCACAGTCCCGGTGTGGACCTTGGGATTGTACTTTTGTCACAACTTTTTCACTGTGAGGACAATCAAGCAGTGAGGCAGGCTGTGCAGAGTCCACCCTTCAAGGTTTTCAAGACCTGAGTGGGTAAAGCCCTGAGCAACCTGGTAGCAGACCCTGCTTTGACCTGGAGATTGGATAGAGACCAACCTGAATTATTCAAAAATCTTATGAAAACTTAACAACCTCTTACCCTGCAGATGCTTTTTAAGTGTGAGTGTGGGCCGATGGGACTCTCTTTTTTCCTAGCTGTTGCAAACTACCAGTGGCCAACTGGGGTATAATACAAATTGCTGCAAAGGGCAAAAAGTGAAAACTAGATTTTTTTTTTTTATTTTTTAACCTATATCAGTACTTGTGTTGCATATATAGACTGTGGTGAGAGTCTGTCTTTGATCTGTCTAAAATGATCCCCATCCTGAGATACCATGTCCCATTTCAACCTAGGAGAAGTGCTCTGAGTTCAGTCATTAGGTCTTACAGAAAATACTGATAAAGCTCTCGTAGTGAATGTGGGCTGGAGCCTGTCCTGCCTTGAAATGTTGGGATAGTTCGTGTAGCACTGCAGAGTTTCTTAGCAGTAAAACAAAAAGGTTGCTGTTAAAGCAAAGAGATCGATCGTATACCTGCAGGAGCCAAAATCCCCCAGACATGGGGCCGCCTCGTATCTTTTGCGGTCTCTTAGACCTCAACCACTTCTGAGTGAAGCGTTCCCAGGTCAGCAAAACAGCATCTTATTTTCGCTACGTACAGGTGTAAATGGCTGCCTGAGGTCAGTGGCAAGGAAGAATTGGTTTCAGTAGGCTTTTATTGTCCTCCCTTCCCTGTTGTCAGGTTGGGTTATTCCATCACCATCAATAAAGCTAGAGCCGGGGTAAGTATCTGTCCCTTGGCTTTTGCGTTGTTCTTTTTGCCTGGACGTGTGCTGAGAGCACAGAGCGAGACCGTTCTTGGCAAGTGCTGCGCAGTTACCAACGCTTTTCCCCCAGCTGTGGGAGCTCTCGCTTTTGATTCCTGCTGGTCTGCTCCCGTCGTCTTGCAAACAGAGAGCCTGAAGACAGCCACCTCGTTTCCACACTGCTGACTCTAAGCCTGTTCAGGATCTGGCCTGCATGTGCAGCACAGTGTTTTTCAATGCTTTCAATTCCCAGATCCCTGAAATCTCTTTATGTGGACACCATGTAATGAATGTAAACCCACTGATTTTTATTCTTTTTATTTTGTGAGTCCTTAGGGCAATCCCAATGCACAGGTGAAGAGCCCACAACCCATGGGTGTTAAAATTGCATGCTACAAAACGCCACGATAAACAATTCAAATCATATCTCATTGCCAGGAGTCATTGCCTGCTAAGTCTTCTTATTGTTTCTGGGATGCCAATACATGTGACTGATGCACTTTGTTAGCGTTAGTGGGTAAAATTCAGGGGAATGAGTTGATCCAGGCTACCGCGCTGTGGTTTCTTGGTCTAGCTACCGCATGGTAGGAAGTTCAGACTTGAGCAGAGTCCGTGCAAGGAGGGATTCTCACTCAGGTGATGATTTTTAACACAGAAAATTCAACCAATTCAAGGTTCTCTAAGCTTCAGCTTCTGTTTAAACTGATGGACCAAGTGGAGGGTAACTCCAGGTGCTCTGTGTTGTATTGCCACTAGAGGGAAATACATGGCCACTTCAGTAAAAGTAGGTTGGAGCCACCAAACAGCTGTTTCGGGAGGCTTCCCACACTTTTTCCATGAGTTGTGCTTTTCTTTTTTGCCTTTTTGTTAGCGCCGCATTGCTATGTAATGTAAATATTCATTTTCCATTTTTCAGCTGAAGGAAATCAGAGGGGCTGGATGGGTGCAAGGGAGAATGATGTCCAAGCTGAAACAACACAGGACTCAAAGATCCCGCATCTGCTCTAATGCTTAAATGCGAGTGATTCCCACCAAGCTGGTGGGGCCTCCTGCTCTTTAGTATGAAGAGACCTGAACCCAGGAGTCCTGTTGCACCATCTGAGCATTTTAGTTCAAATCAGCAGCAGGGTTTTCATTTGATTAAAATAATCTGGTCTGGAAGCGTCATTTTCTCCTTGCCGTGCGTTCCCGCTGCTGGCTGCAGCCTCTCCACCAGCTCTCCCAGGGAGACTCCATCCTTGCCGCAGCCAGGGGAATGACACCACAAGTCTTGTTTTCCTTTCCTGCCGCCAGTAAATGGTGTTTGCTGTGTTCTTGGTGCACAGGCCCGACAGCTGATCCTGCAGAACGGCTTAACGCTAAGTGACTTGGACCGACATCCAGAGGTAAGTGGGACTGTGGAGGTGAGACCTCGCCTGACCTTCCTCTAACCTGGTCCTTCATAACGCATCAGGCTCCTTTGTCCTCCCCCGAGGACGAGAGTTCAGGCAGCCACGCTGCAGGACATGAGCAAGAACTAGCTTAGTTTATTTTTTTCCCCAAGCCTTAGATTTATCTTAGTGCTTTTCCCTTTAGGTGGCAGGTAGGCTGCCAAGCTGTGTTTCCTCCAGGTGTTTGGCATCTCTTCCAGGCTGAGGATTGCTGGCCCGAGACAGGGGTATTATGTTGCTGAACTGCCACCGAGATTTTCCCTGGGAGTCCCTCGCTTGCGTGCTGGTCCTTAAGTGACACTAGAGGCTAAAGTGATGTGCCTTGCAGGACAGCAGTTGGTTTTGGTTTTCCTTTCTCCTGCTCTCACAGACTTGTGGTTTAGTGGGGGCTGGTATCCTTGGGTGGCTGATCAGGCACTCATCTCTGGTCAGGCTGGCATCAAGGTGGTCCCAGCTCTAGTGACATTTCTGGGGGCTGCTTGGGACCTGACACCCCCCGAGCTGCGCCAAGAGCCGTGCCTGGATGCTGCGCAGGAGGGGTTTCCACACCAAGTTTCTCCTCTTCCTACAGCTTGATGTTGCCATCGATGGAGCAGATGAAGTGGACTCTGACCTCAACCTTATCAAAGGTGGCGGGTGAGCCTTGCTGTCTGTCCGTCTGTGTGCGGCACTGGTGGTGGTGGCCTCTGAGCATCCTTTTCTGGCTACGGATGTTTCTGGGGTGGGCTGGAGAGGCTGATGGGATCCCGTGCAGGGCCGTGCGTGTACCTGCAGTGGGAGGTGGCTCTTGACCAGGAGTGTGTGCAAGGGACAAGGAGGATAAAGTGATGGGGCAGGGGAAGGAGCCCTGGTGTGGGGCAATGGCAGCACCAAAACCAGAAAGAACATGATGGAGGGGACTGGACTTCAAGGTCATCAGGCACATTGAGGAGCAGTCTGATGTTTTCTGAGTATTTTATTTTTATTTTTCCCCCCTTGCAGTGGCTGCCTGACCCAGGAGAAGATAGTTGCAGGATATGCAAAATGCTTCATCGTTATTGCGGATTACAGGTGAAAATATTACTGTTCATTATACCTCTCTGTCCCATGGGAGGATTTGGATAGTTCTGTGTTAGGCCATTATTGTCCTTCCAGTGGGTCAGGGGAGCAGGAATAGATGGAAATGAGCCTGGCTTCCAGTGCTTTAGCAATTCAATTTAGCTTTTTTTCTTAATTTTCAACTCAGCAGGCCTGCTTAGGAGTCAGCAGAGCTTGTGGGGAGATGGCTGCTCTGCTTTTTGAGCTCAGTGATTGTCAGCACAGAATAAATTTCCCCTTCTGTACATACAACTGCGGGGCTGTATTAAACACAACTCGTGTCCTGCTTGTCCAAAACATGTCAAAACAGGGCTTATGAGTGAATAGAGCATCATGTATTAAACTGGTTCTTCCTACACGTGTGCACGTGTGAGCTGACCGCTGTGCCCTCCAGGGCCTTATGCCTGAGGGGTTTGCAAGAGGGAATGTGATAATGTTCATGGCGTTAGCAGTGTCATGTCTGATGCTAATCCCACCTCAAACTGTGTCCTCAGGAAAAAATCAGAGAGCCTCGGGGAGCGATGGAAGAAGGGAATTCCTATCGAAGTCATCCCCATGGCTTACGTCCCCGTCTCCAGAGCCCTGACCAAAAACTTCGGAGGTGCCGCAGAGCTGCGGATGGCTGTTAGCAAAGCGGTACGTGTCCCTGATCAGCCCCGCATCCCCAGAGGAGCCACCTGAACGTGGGCAAATGGAGGACCAGAGTTCTGGCCTTTCACCTAAGTAAATCCGGGCTTTCACTCACACGAGTGGCATCTTGTGTAATTCCTCCTAATTATATACACAGTTAATGAACTGTGTGTTTAGGTGTTCAGGCTGCTTGTTGAAAGCCTCTCTGGCTTACGTCTCCTAAAGCAAGCATCCCTGAGCAGGGAGAAGAGGGATTGCCAGTCTGGGTCTGACCTCCTGCTCTGTGGGGGTACTGGGGGGCTGGAAGGCAGTCTGCACTACTAAAGAGGGTCTCAAGTTGTGGGGGTAGCTCATGTTCCATCCCAGGCTTCTCTCTTCCACACGGAGCCAGACTAAATTTAAACTGAAGCTGCTTTGTCTCTGCTGCCACTGTCCTATCCTGGCTTGGGCAGCGGAGCTTTGCCAGCCCACGTTGCATGGCAAGGGAAAAGGAGAGCTGTCTGCAGTAACGACTGGAGTTAATGCCTGAAGGCTGAATACTTGTTTTTAATGTGTCTAATCCCAAGAGGCTCTAGGGATTGCATTTGGGTGCCTGAGAAGAGCAAACCAGTCGTTCTCTGTGAACCTGAGACCGGTGTCGCTCGGGGAATGCACATCAGTGCTGCTCCAGCATGATCCCTGTCCTTGGAGGATGCTGGTCCCTTCTGGGATGTATGGCTGCACACCCTGCTCAGCGCTGCCGAAACACCTTGTTCTCAAGCCCAGCTGTCTCTCCTCTGTTGAAAGGAACCAATTGCTCCTTCTGTTGGTCTTGAGGGAGTGCTGGGCACATCTGGGATGCTTAAGTCCAGCAGTTCTTCAACTCCCCATGGCATCCAGCAGCATGCTGTTAGCACTGGGGCAGAGGGGTCCTCCTTCGGCTTCAATTGCCTGTAATAGCCTCTGTAGGACATTTACCTAGCTTTGCTCTTGTGAAGAGGCTCCCCTGTTGCAGTGATGTTTCCAACTTCTGCATGATTACCTGTATGCAGGAGAATGAGGAACGAGCAGTTGCCTTGGGTGATGGTTTTACTTACAGGCTTATTGTGGACTGCCCTGATTTACCTGAATGATGACTCTCTCCAAACTGTTGCAGTGGAGGTGGCTGGTCCCGGTGAGGGCTGTGACAGTCCCTGGCTGGGCTCGGTAGACAAGGAGCTCATGGTGGTGACAAATGGGTTTGCTTCTCAGGGCCCTGTGGTGACAGACAACGGGAACTTCATCCTGGACTGGAAGTTTGACAAAGTTCATGAATGGAGTGAAGTGAACACCGCTATAAAAATGATACCAGGTATTGTTTATGATTTAAAAAAAACCCAAACGCTGGCTAAGGTTGGTCTGTGCTAGGTAACCCTGACTGTGGGAGTTCTCCCCTGGATAGGAGGAAATGTGTGTGTGTGTTTGTTCACTGCCCTCTTATGGGTCCCTACATTTGTTTCTACTCAAGAGATCTATCTGCTGAATTACTGCAATGGTACCTATGTGGCATTTCCATATGGTGGTAAAAACCTGGGGTGATGCCGGGTGACTTAAGATGCTGTTTCCCATTAGGCACACAAGTCCTGTGTTCTTCTTTACTCTCTTTGTGCCAGTTTGGAGAGGGACTTTTAATGGAAACACTGGTGGACTCTGGAGGGAGGGTTTGCACTGGGTTACAGTGTTTTCGAGGAGCTGCTTACAGCTCTGCATCCCATTACCATTGTGTAGTCCTATGGGCTCACCTTGCTGTGGGAGTGCAGCGTATCCTAGCTATTGCTGTGCAAGAGAGAAGCAGTGACTGATGGCACTGTTTGCAAATGAAACAGCCTCTCTGCAAGGACTCCTGCCTTGCATGAAGACCTGCTGCCCAGGCCAGAGCTGCTTCTGGATGATCCAGGTCTGCCCAGAGGCAGTGGCACTCTCTGGACTTCAGTGAATCAGCAGATAGACTGGCTCAGCCACATCTGGATATCTCTCTGGTTATGTTGGCAAAGTCTGCTCTTGAATCTGGTCAGCTTTCGAGTACATGTTGTTGTATCTCTTTATCTCCGAGTTTATCTCAGATACCTGCCTGCCCCTGAAGTCCGTAACACAACTGCCTTCACTGACTGTGCATTGTCAGAACATGCAGGAATAGGTTGGGATCTTGTTGCACAAACCTCAGAGTCCCCACAAAGCAGCAATATATTGTCCTTGGCACTGCAATTAAAATACAAGAGCAGGCAGAGGCCATGGGTGTAGGCTGGGTGAAGAGTTGCCAGTAACTTCCAGTTGCTTCTGTTTGGTGGCTTTGCTTCCCTCAATGCTGCTTATAAGGGTGATTTACTGAAAATACACCCGTTTTCTTTTTTCCTGCTCTAGGAGCAAACTGCTAGGATGCTACCTCTGCCTTGACTTGTCCCGGTGTCTTTGCAATCTGAATAATTACCTGGCACTTGCTTGCAGACAGCAGTAGATGGCAGGTTTGGACCTTTGGCAGGAGCAGATTTAACCAAACCAGTGACCAATCTAAATGAACCGGTGACCACTGCCCATCTGGGCTGTCCCAGGTGCGGTGCTCCATATCCTAATGCAGTTTCTGCCCGTGGCTGTACAAATGTCTATGTCACTAGAGCTGTTTCTGTGCAAGAGAAAAACTGGCCGATTACGCTGTTTGCAAACAGAACAGCAAGGACTTCTTCTTTGCGTCTCTGCAAGGAAGATGAATGGTAAACGATGGGACCTGCTCCATTGTGTTGGTGTGGAGATGGTCTCAGCACCATTTGCTGCTCAGAAATGGACTCGCTATGGGGAGAAGAGCATCTTCCCTACCCAGAAGTGGATCCCCAGAACTGTTAAAGCCTAAATACAGTGGTGATAGCAGGGCTCTGGCCACCTTGCACTTGCGGTAACCCTTGTTCTCCATTTCTTTCCACCTTTCTGGCCTCTGGCTGTGGCTCAGTGATCACTGTGAAGTTAGGAGCACCCCATAATTAAATGCAACCAAAAGTACCTTTGCAAATGGGCTACAAACTGCAGAGGTAGCATCAGATCTGCTGAATCTTAACATTTGAACAAGTGTTATCCAGGTGTTCTCTAACAGGATAGCTTTTTAGATTTGTTTAAAGGCAAAGTGAGTAAACCTGTGGCTGCGTGTAGCTTCCTCTTACTCCCGTGGATCATCAGATGGCTGAAAATCCCATGCTCATGATTATGTTAGTGTAATGGTGGCGGCTGGCCTGGTGTGAATGTCAGGGGGAGCTTTGGGAGTTGTTTCTCACTCTCTGGAGAGAGTTTCTTCTGGAGGTGGCAGCATGGAAAAGACTTCCCACAGGCTCCCTGCGCGGCTGATTCAACATCACCCAGGCTGGACACCTCTCTCCAAACCTCTGATGGAGGCATCAGCGCCTTTTAATGAACAAAAACACGGGCGGAGCAGAGGATTCAAGCAATGGGGTGGCTGTGGCATTAACCTGCACGTGAACTCTCGTTCCCCAGGTGTGGTGGAGACGGGACTCTTCATCGACATGGCAGAGGTGGTGTACTTTGGCATGGAGGACGGCTCGGTCAGCGTGCGGGAGAAGCAGCCTCGCTGACGCCAGCACGCTGCCTGCTCTGCTTCGCCTTCGGCCAGTTTGATTCAGCTGTTGTAATGGTGCCAACCTGACGTTTTGCCTTAACGAGCAGCGGTTATTGCAGAAGACGGATGGGAAGTTGATCAGAATCCGCTGACGTGATACTGAATGTCTTTTTTAAAAACAAAACAAAAATTATATTCTATTTCTATATATATATATTTTTACTTTACAGGAATGTTGTCTTTTTTTAAAGAATCATTTAAACAAATTGCTTTAATGTTTTTATTTTATTTTCTAAGAAATACTTACCAAAAAGAATACTCCTTGTTTTGTGTTTTGGGTTGGTTTTTTTTTTTCGTTTTTCGAACAGAACTTGAACCCTTCTGGTTGCTCATAGTGCTTAGTGATTGAGGTCAGAAATACAATCCTAATTCATCATCCTAACCCCCCTGGCTGGGAGGGTAGTGCACGTAACGGGAGCGCATCCAGTCGGGACCTGCTGATGCCTTATTTGGAACCTTTTTGGTTCGGTATTTTATGCCTTTTATTTTTCTATACCACTGTTTTTTAATAGTTCAGGATGTCTAGTTGTCCTCTGTGCACATGACAATTCTCTGAGCCTAGGGTGGTCTCTACATCCCTCTGTCTGGAACATTAATAAGGGCCTTTTTTGAGCCTCTGTATGGAGGAGATGTTCATCCTTTGAGCCAAATTCTGCTCTCCATTAATCCAGTACCTCTGATTAAAATCTGTTCCTTTACCTGGAGGTGTTTGGGACTTCGTCCTTGTAAACCGAGAGCAGAACTGGGTCCTTGATAAAGTTTACAGAAGCACGTTTGAGCAGCTTAGGGCAGCGTGGAATACCGTTCAGTGGCAAATTATTTGATTAGGAATGAAGGTTGATTATCACCCCTCACAGCTGGTTGATTTGTGGAAGGATAGAGCGGAACGCACAGGAAAACCGAGTCTTCCTGCCTAAATTTCCCATATGTAGCAGGAGAGAGACACTCGTTCAATATCTTGTTCTCGGTGTATAGGTGCTTTGCATGGTTCTGATGTCAAAATGCAAGCCCTCTCTTTGTGTTGTAGACACTGAAATAAAGAACTGTTACACCAGATTTAGTGGTAATTCGGTTCTTAAAGTATTTCGTGGACAACGGGGCAGATTGTTGTCAGACTAACTTCTGCTGTAGTTTTCCCCTTACAAGGGCTCTTCACCCAGGCGAAATTCACCCTTCTGCATTTGATTTCCTTTCGCTTAAGGTAAATACATTATTTTAAATTAACCAGATTATCTAATCAATGCTCGTTAGCTGCAGTGCTTACCTCGAGACTGTCTTAAATTTGCATGTCTAAAACCTGTGCATCTAAATACAGCTCCAAAGGAGCTACTTCTTTAAATCTTCCTCTTCTGTGCATCTCTTGTGTTAATTCTGAAGCACTTGTACTGAGCAAACTGGCTGCCATCCAGCCAGCAGCTTGGTGGAAACACTGGAATATCTCTTCCCGAAAACCCGATGCTGCAGAAGCCATTTGCAAAGCCCTAGTTCTTGCCATGGGCTGTTTTCAGATGTGTCTTGGGCTCCTAATGTAATCCTAGATAAACAGAGAGCAATCGAGCAAAGCTTTGTGCCCAAGCGCCTCCTCACTCAGCATGCTTCTGGAAATGAGATTAGCAGGAGCGAATGTTGCTGTTGACTGTCTTCTCTCTCAAATCAAACAGCTCCTTCTCAAAAAGCTAATAAAACCATTACCGCACCATTACTTTCTGGCCCTGGACCAGATGTGATCTCATTCAGCTTTGTGCTTAGCAAGGGCTTGTTAAATCTAAGCCTGAAGTGGCGGGTCAGATTCTTGAGTTTCTCTGGGCACTTGGGATGCAGGTAGTGCTGGTGGGTGCTTTGGCAATGGATGCGCCTGCTGGGGTGGGACTTTGAATGGGTCTTGGGCTGTGGGGTATGGGTACAGAGTTCACTGTGCTAAAGAGGTGGAATCAAAATCTCAGGATGGAATTAAAATCCCTGAAGTGCTGGAGAAGATGTGGTGTCTGAACCAGTTCTGGAGGCTTTGCACAGATTTCCCATGTGTAAAGTGCCCCAGCTCAGATTTCCCGAGTCTGGATGGATTTTTGAGTTAAGGGGCTCTTAAGAATGGTCTGATCCTTTCCCTCGGAGGCTGCGAGGCTCCCTGACCTGTCGTGACCATCCACATCTTTGTCTGCCAGCACGTGTGGGGCACATCTAGATGGGGCGCAGGGAGTCTGTCCCCTCCTGGGGTGGCTTTGGTGTGCCGTGGCTCTGCCCTGTCACCGACACAGCCTGCTTACGCTGATGCTTAGCTGCCTAGCCACAAGCGTGTTTGATGAAAATTAACTGTACAGGCAGCAGAGGTATTTCTGGTGCCTGGTCCTTGCTTTTCTAGACTGTCACCGTTATCATTATGTATGTTTTTTGGAGAGAGAACGGTTTATAGGTGAGCATGCCATGGTAGAACTTCAGGTAGGGGCAGTTCTGCTGTGGCCACACGAGTGGGCTGCTCCCAACAGCTCTTGGGCTTGAGTTCGTTGAATTCGATTTTAACACCTTGGCTGGTTTGCACTGTGGCATTTGCTTTGGGCTTTCATTTTTCAAGGTGCTCTTCAAAAGAGCTTTAAGAAGCCTTTAGAAATGGGGCTGCCACATCGATCCCACCCTGCTGCCTTGCAGGGATGTATTTTTAGAAGATGGCATTGGGGAAAAAAAAAAAAAAATCAAAAGCAAGTGGAAGGAGGTGTCCTTTTAAAGCCCAAGGCGTGTTGGTTGGGTGCATTTATTTAGGGTGCATTCCCACAGGGGGTCCTGTTACCCGATGCTAACCACAGTGAGACGATGCAATCCAGCCCCCGCGCACAAACCCTGGCGTCGCCTTTTGGGCCGTGCACAGCGGGTAATGCACAACTGATTTACCATTAGTGCTAAATTATGGATTAACTTGGCCCTGGAGAAAACAAACGTTTCAAGAAAGAGCAACAGCAGCACTAAAATTAATGAGCATGAGAGGTAATGAAACACTAGTCCCGTTCCAAAAAAAATAAGCAATATAAATATAGTAAGAGAGTGCTTCAGATTCAATTTAATTAACCTTTGGTTAATAGGTTAAATAATTAAGCTGAATTAATTAAACTAAGTAGAAAGAAATGAAGAGTTTAGTTAAAGTGAATCACCCTGTTCCGTGTTATAAAGCAACTATTACTGTCTGTCAGGTTTTTATGATTGTCACTGTAGGACGGGATTTATGATCTGACATAATTATTGTTCTGAGAAATGTGACATAAAAAGAGATGAAAAATAATTAAGCAGGGAGCATAGAAGATGTGTGCTCTGTGTACTAAACCAAACAATTATAGCCAAAGTGATAAGGAGCGAATAAGCATATTATAACCAGTGATAAAAATTAGCTATAATGAATATTGGTAAGCTGTAACGAGTATTAATATCTTTTAAACATAAAGCCACATCCATTTAGTAACCAGGTGCATTTAACCAAAAATTGTGTAGTGCGTTGGCTTTGGTCCAGCTGCACCAGGAGGGAAGGAGGAAAAGGAAAGAAATCCTCATTTTCAAAGTGGTTTTTCAAATTTATCAAGCCTTGTGAATCCTCCAAAACTTCTTTGCGGTTTTATTTTGCTCAGTACATCAGCAAAAAGGTGATGCGTTTCAGCTTGAAGATGATCTGAAAGACCTATAAACTACCATTTTTTGGTACCTAAAACTTCTAAAGTTTATTCATTTCCCCTTCCAGTAACTTTAATGGGAGTTGTATCACCCCTGTATCTCCATAACCCATCAGGATCAGAAGAGTTAAAAAGCCCCCATATAATTACAGAACTTGACAGATCCGCTATTTAGATAGCTTGAATCTCGTGTGGGATTTGTCTCCTGACAGGGCACTATAAATTACCATGAAATTCCCTAATGAAAATTTTTCTGTAGAAGAGTTTTTGTAACATCATCTCTGTAGGAAAACCAATACCTGATGTTTATTGTTTTCAGTTCAGTAGATTTTCCTGTTTGTATTTTTACAGCTACTGACACAAACATCTTTTAAACGCCCTTAATTACACTTACAGCCTTGTGAAAATAATGTCAGATTATCGAGGTGAACGTAGTGAGCAAAACAGTAAAGGATCAGTGACTTGGGTTTGACTATAAGAAATTACATAAACTACTTTTTTTAATGAAAGAAGAAAGGACTCTGTGCAAGAATGTCTTAGCTTAAGATAAGTTTTCTAACAAATTGTCAATTATGTTGGAAAGTTAAATGCAGCTACTGATTTATGTTGTTTCTGGAAGTCAGTAGCAGAAAGATGAAATTCAGTGGAAGAAAAAAAGTGACTATTAAGTCAACCACCTTGTATCTGTAAACCTCCCTACACTTTAATATCCAAGTTCACTTGGGGTGTTGAATTAGGAATATTCTTAATCACGCTACATTCTAAGTTCATTTCATGCTGTATTGTTAAAAAAAAGTGCATGTAAGTTTGATCATGCAAAAAAAAAATCACAGAAGCTGAAGTGCCTGCTAACTGGAATGGTCCTTTTATTGTGCACCAAACTCTAAATTCCTTCATCGTGGTCTTCCAGTGCAGGATTAATTAAAAAAAATACTAACATCAAGTATCCTTTCTACTTATGAATGTCTCACAGGCTTGTGTAATCTCTTACTGAAGCTATTACTGGAATGCCTTATAGATCAAAATCATTAATTAAACATTAATTCCCTTAAAACATTTTCAAAGCCTTAATTTCAGTAACTTGTAACTTATTTGCCTGCCACAGTGCACTGTCTTCTTGTAATCAGTATTTAATAACCTGTACAGTTTAATCCCAACGTAATGTATTTGGTAATGACAAATTAAATTGAAAAACCCTGCTGTAAATCTAGATGGTGCACTGTGATGCTTTTCTTACTATCTTAATTCCTTGCTGAAAAAGAGACAGTCCTGCCTTCCTCTAATCCTTACATGAGCATTGTTTTTCGAAGGGGAGATTATCATTCTCTTCTTTACTTTTATGTATAGTTTACTGAGGCTGGACCAGATCAGTGAAGAGTCAAATCCAACAGCTCATAACTAACGTACCAAAAATCTTGCATAATTGAAGAGCAAGTAGATATTCACTGCTTCTCTCTCCTGAGATGGTCAAGGGGCTTCAGGATATGATCCACTATCTGAGCATCTTGAGAAAACTCAGCCACTTTGCTGCAGACCCCCACTTACTTTTTTGACGGGTTACTTGCAGGTTTCTCAGCTGTGTGCAGAAAGCTCCTGGGGTCGT